TGCCCTTTCTTTTTACAGTAGTCACAAATAAGATTTCTATTTGTCTCAGCGTTCATGAACATCTTTCCTCCTATAGAATTGTTTTTATTTGCTAACATCGCCATACTTTCAGCATTCAAATTTACAGGAGCAGATACTTCTCTTTCTTGTTCCTCTTGAATCAATGTTGCATAAGTATCAGCAATAGTAAATTTAAGTTTTTCGTGAAGAATATTGCCTCTAACTTGAACATAACTATCATTCAATCCAAAAAGAAATTGCACCAGTTGTTTCCTTTCCATTCGCTTTATCCAAGCTTCTTATGCAATACATGTGCAATCAGGTATATCATCAACTGCAACAAACTCATCCCAAATTCGTTTAGATCTAGAGTAATATGTAGTAATTAAATCAGTTCCTTGAGCTATTTGATTCAATTCTATTTGTATCTAAAAAACGACGACCAAATTTGACTGTTCAAACATGTGATGCAATTGTTTCCAGATTGCACTCGCAGTCGTATAATAGATTGATCCTTCAGAGATTTCTTTAGACATTGCATTGAGAATCCAAGTGATGACAATGGAATTGCACCTCTCCCAATCATCATAAGTAGGATCTTCTTCTGCATGTTTCTTTGTTCCGCCCATCATAACACCTAATTTGTTTTTAATAGACAGTGCTAGAGACATTGCATGCTTCCAAGCCCCAAAACTCTTGCCATCGAAGATCTTTGTGACAAGAATCGTACCTGGATTATCGTTTTGACTCAGAAATAGTGGATTCAAATACGTAGATGCATATGTTCTTGTTCACATTATTGTTCTTTTCAGCCATCTTCTCGATGAGAAACAAATCAAAGAAGAAATCGAGAAGAAAGAAGGAAAGGAAATGAAAATTGGATCACAAAAAAATGAGAAATTTCATATTGGAAATCGATCGCTCTGATAAAACTAGAGTACAGAGAAATTGGAAGTAGAAAGAGATTGGGGAATTTCTGTATGACTTATTTAGAAGCAACAACTCAATATATACAAACATTAAATCACAACATACGTGTACAAAACAAGTCTATCTAACTAATATATCGACTAAGATAACAAACTACTTTGAAATAATAACAAATCTAATAGATTTGGATTCCAATGAATTTGAAATCATTGATGTGTTTGGTTTGTAGGATGTAGGATTTAGAATGGAATTGAATTCTAAAAATTATAAATAATTATAAAAATAATTAAATTACATTTTTATTAATCGATTATCACAAACAAATATTTTAAACGTTATTGCATACAATCCTACGAAATCCCGTGAAATCATGAGCATTCCCTAAGGATTTCAAAATCCTATGTTTGTAGGATTTCAATTAAATCTTAGGATTTCAAATCGGAACAATCCAACAAACCGAACATGGATTAAAATGGATTTGAAATCCAAATCTTCCAAAATCCATTCGAGTTTCTACTACAATATAGTAGTCTTTATATCTTTACTATCCAGATTTTGATTTGCTCTTGTGTGAAAAGTCTTCCATTATCTGTCTACACAGGATCTTGCTACTGCTATTATTTTGATGATGCAGCAAGTTTTATACCATTGATCTTCAGGGGTTGTGTTTGAGTTGTCTGTTGCTGATGTTGTGATGATCGATCTGACTTGACTTTACACAAAACCTTGATGTCTCTGAGATAATTGCTGCTAAACTTGGTGCTGTATTTCTTTTTGAAGTACTTTGCCAATTGCCACCTATGCATGATGCCACTGACTTTTGCTTTTGCTTTTGCTACTGAAGTTCATGGACCCCAGGAAGTTAATGTTTTTGATTTATGGCCATAAATTGCACATGTTTTTAATCTTCATCTTGCTTTCTCATCTTTCTGTCCAACTTGAAATTGACAACAACAAATTGTTTTGAGGTATGTTTTCCTGTTTTTTTTTTGCTTGTTTCTCCTTGAAATCTACTGTTGCTTTTGACTGTGTTTTGCTGTCTATTTTACTTAATTTTATGTTAGTTTAGTTTTTTTTGTTCGAGTTACTCAATTCTGAGGTCGTTTACGTTTGTTTTACTCAATTTTATGGCAGTTTGAGTTTGTTTTACTAACATGTAATGGCCTTCTTTTCAGTCTTTAAGTCATAGACGGACCTAGAGGGGTGGTTAGGTGGCACGTGCCACCGTATTGTTCCTCTGTGGTAAGGTAAAAAAAAAAATTAGGTTCGTGAAAGGTGCAACCGTTTTATTCTAAGATGTGCAACCGTTTTATATGGTGCCACCGTATCCAAAAATTCTTTCTTGAGTCCATCCCTGCTTTAAGTAGTTCACTTGCTCAAAAATTCTTGAGTCCGTTTTATTCTTATTAACATTTCCACCAGGTATTTATTGGTCCTGAGTTGGCAGTAAAGTTGACCTTTCATGTTCCATTTTTAATTCTGATCTTATTCATAATTAAATGTTTATAAATAAGACCATATGAATGTATTCCGATGAATGTATTTTGACTTGGGAAATTAGACGCTCTTCGCGACCGTTAAACGATTGTTTTGTCCAATATCTGCTACTTCGATGCAAGTAATTATCTGATGCAGCGGATTAAAACAAATGACAGATTAACACGCCGATTCTGAGAATACTCGTGGCTAATCTTCTCTAGTATTCGTTGATTCGATGAATATCGAACCTAACTTTCAAATTCAATTCACCAGAACTCAAAATTTGGGATAAAATGAAAAGTTTCTGAAAATACTAGTGTGATCATTCAGAATGTGACCGTCCAGAGTTCATAAGACACATATAAACAGGAATCCTAAAAGAAAGGCCTAAAAAAGACTATGGGCCAGTCATATTTAAAAAGCCCAACAAAAATGCCAAAAAGGATAGAGGTGGTCATTTCTGCATGGGCTTGGGTGGGCTACAAGTCGAACCTAACATATTTTTCTTGTCCAACGGGCTTAATATAGCAAAAGCAAGCTCGTTTTTACAAGCTCGAGAACTTGCCCATACTGGTCCTCTAACCGCAAGCGTGCCAACTGGGCTAACGGGCCTATAGTATTACATTTGGAAAAAAGTTATATGAAACGGTAAATTATGTAAAATTATCCAAAATACATTTATTTCCAACTAAAAAATATACTGATATACATAACGTAAGAAAAAAAGTATTTTTCATAAAATATGGAGTTGAACTTTTCCTCTCCAAGAATTACTGCCCTTTAAAATTTGGATTCTTCAACAACAAAAAAATTTTGACTACTAATATTTCGAATTCAAGATTCGAGACGTACTATATAACATATCATATAGTATATATATATATATATATATATATATATATATATATTATAACATATCAATGGATAAATTAGGAAATTAATAATTTTGGTAATTTGAGTTAAAATTATAATTAGAATGCATTTTAGGTATTTTAAAAACTCATCTCTCTTCTCTCCTCTCTCCGACCTCGGATCTCCGGCCTCCGGTAAACATTTTTCTGGCCGGTACCAAGTAATCACTATGATACATGATGTGATACCATTGTGGTATCCAGGGCCGTCCCTGGGGGAGGGCGGGCTGGGCACCTGCCCAGGGCCCAAAAAGTTTAGGGGCCCAAATTTCTTTTATATATATTATTAGGTTTAAAAAATTAATAAGAAATGATTAAGAAGCCCAAGTTTTATAAAATAAAAAGGCCCAAGATTTACAAAATAAAGGGGCCCAATCCATATCTCTAACCATGGCATCAATCTTAATCCAGAATTCCAGATCCAGATCAATCAGCGACTAGTCTAGAGTAATAACCGAGAGCGAGAAGTCTGAGAACGAATGATTGAGAGGAGCGATAATCGAGAACGAGAGTCGAGAGCGAGACTAGAGCCGACTGTTCATCTCCGAGCGATTCGATTCCAACAATCCAACGGTAACTCGGCAACGGCAAGCGGCTCAACGGGCGATTTCAGAATGAAGTTTCCTATGCGTCGCTGATTTAAGGTTAAATTCCACTTATATGTTTAATGTATTACTAATAATTGTTAATTTGTTATGATTTTGGGTTCACTGTTTCTCAATTCTCACAGTTCTGTTCTGAATTCAAGTTCAAGATTCAAGATTTATTTCAATTGTTCAAGTTCATCATCAGTCAAGTGGTGGGTTTAGGGCAGCAACAAAAAGGTATCTATTTTCTATTTATGTGTATAATTTCTATTTATGTTGTTCAAGTTCATCAATCATCATTATTTCTATTTGTTGTTCAATTTCTTGTATAAAATCTTATCCAGCCACAATCCATCGCACATTTTGTATTCCATCTTTTTAGGTTTAGGGCCATGTTAATATGTTAGTGTACTGATTTGATGTTAAAATGTTGTTGAATTTCGGTGTTTGATTGAACCGTTTGTAGTGTACTGTTTGGTTCTAGAGTAATTTTGGTTCACTACCAAACTCTTTTGAAAATAGGTTTAGTCCATTTGAATTTGGTGTCTTGTGGTTGTGTAAAACTTGGATTCCACATTCCCACTAAGTGCTTTAAAATCCTTAGAGGTCACACCCACGGGCCTTAGAATCTTCCCTTACCATATGCGGAGTTTGTTTTGTGTGAACCCTGTTTTTTGCCGAGATCTTTTCGGTATTGGGGAAAGAATCCACCTAATAAGTGCGGAAAACTGACTAGTTAGAATTTGGATCAAAGGTGTCGATTACCACTATTAAATAATCTCTTCAGAGTAGTCATTGTGCTACAGTTAAACCATAATGTAAATTAACTCATGAAATATGATATGTGGAAAACACTTGGKTATATTTTGTCTATATTTTCCKYARACACCCTTATATGATTGACTTATTTGCTCACTAATTGTGTTTCAACCATTTTGAATGGCAGACTACAATTTATTGAAAAAAGAAGTTGACTTCTTCATTCTTCAGTATTCCATAATCCAAAATCAGATTCAACCACTCAGCCACTCAGGTGCCTTTGTTCATCTTTATATTAACTTTGTTGAATTGTTGTGTGTGTTAAATATTGATCATGTTGCCTAAAAAGTATAAGTACTTATTTGGAAGTGAGAAAAGGAAAAAAAGGAAGTTAGTTGAACAATTGAAACAATCACAAAAAGGAGCCATGGATAAGTTTGTAAAAACCATAGGTTCTTCTAATCAAGAGTTAGGGCCTGTTTACTTGTGGCTTAATGAGCTTAGTGGATAAATGGGATTATTCGCACAGACTTTCTAGGCTATTTACTTTGGGCTTAATCGCTCAGAAATGGGCTTATTCGCCCAGATGAAAGAAGAAACTTGTCCAGATTAAGCCGACCAAAAGACTGCCCTACCCTTCTCCTCCATCGATCGCACATCTCTTCTCCTCCATCGATCGCACATCTCTTCTCCATCGATCCAACAGCCCTCTTCTCCATCGATCCAACAGCCCTCTTCTCCATCGATCGACTGCCCTAATCGAAGGCCTCTTCTCCTCCATCGAGAAGAAGAGTTCGTTGATTCTAGAGGATACACAAATCGAAGAAAAACTAACAAACCCACATGAGGAAAAACCATTAAAAGRCCCAAGTTTGAAGAAACTTCAAGTYGATTTTGGTGTTGCAGGGGAGTTCAAACAGGTAATGAAAAAACATCAACAAACCCACATGAGGAAAAACCATAAAAGATTGATGAAAGTGAATCCCAAATTTGAAGAAACTTCAAATCGATTTTGGTGACGCAGGGGAGTTCAAACAGGTCATTGCTTTTGGAGATTGGGGTTTCGATTTTGGGTATTAGGATTTYGATTTTGGGGTTTTGTTCTTGGTGATGCATCGAAGTCGAGAGAGATGAGGAGAGAAGCAACCATTCGCGAAGGAGATGCAGGGTTTCGATTTCAGGAAGGAGATGCAGGTTTTGGTCTTGGGTTTTTGTTCTTGGTTATGCGTGGAAGTCGAGAGAGATGAGGAGAGAAGCAACAATTTCGCGAAGGAGATGCAGGGTTCCAATTTCAGGAAGGAGATGCAGGTTTCAATTTCAGGAAGGAGATGCAGGTTTCAATGCGTAGTTCTTCCTCAAGGGGTAAATTGGTCATTTCTGTTATTCAGACTATTGATTCAGATAGAAAAGTAAACAACAACATAAATTTATCCAGATAGACAAATTTATCCAGACAGACAAATTTATCCATACAGAATTTAATAGAAAATTTGGTAAACTGCCTCTTAGATGCCTCAAATGAACAAGATGTTGAACATCCAAATATGAGTGAAGATAATGAAAAGATTGATGGTGTGAGTGAACATGAGGTCCCCAATAATACTGAAAATTTATCCGTTGATGAACAATCAATTCCGTTTTTCGATATTTGTGATTCAAGAAATTGGGATAATCTTGATACTAAATCAAGAGACATCCTAGTTGAAAAAGGACCTAATAGAGAATTGGGTATCGTGTTTCCTTTAGATAACATGTCTAGACATTTTTCATATGCTTATTATGATAGAAAGTTAAGCAATGGTGAAACTAGTGATCGAAAATGGTTACTTTATTCAMAATATGAGGATAARGTGTATTGTTTTTGTTGTAAGTTGTTCAAGTCTAAKAATTATAGAAATGCAATAGCTAATGAAGGATTTAGAGATTGGAAGCATCTTGGTGAGAGACTTAAAKAACATGAGAATAGTATTGAACATATGAATAACATGTTATCTTGGAATGAACTAAGAGTAAGATTTAACACAAACCAAACAATCGATAAAGACTTGCAACAAGTGATTTTAAAAGAGAAAGAACGTTGGAGGAAAGTTTTAGTAAGAATAATTGTTGTTGTGAAGTGTCTTGCTAAGTATTCTTTGCCTTTTAGAGGATCAAATGAGAAGTTGTATCAACGTAGCAATGGTAATTTTTTGGGGTTAATTGAAATGATTGGAGAATTTGATGTGATAATTCAAGATCATATTAGACGCATTCAAAATCATGAAGTTCATTATCATTATCTTGGCCCTAGAATTCAAAATGGGTTAATTTCTCTTTTGGCTCATAATGTTAAAAGTTCTATCATGAAAATTATTAGAGATGCTATATTTTTCTGTAATTCTTGATTGTACACCGGATGTGAGCCATCAAGAGCAAATGAGTTTAATCATACGATGCGTGAATATGTCTGGTGATAAAATAAAAGTAGAGGAGTATTTTATAGAGTTTTTAAAGGTTGATGATACATCTGGTTTAGGGTTATTCAATGAATTATTAGATGTACTTAAATCTCTCGATCTTAGTGTTGATGATGTGAGGGGTCAAGGTTATGATAATGGTTCTAACATGAAGGGAAAACACCAAGGGGTACAAAATCGATTACTTGAAGTTAATCCAAAAGCGTTATATATGTCATGTGCTTGTCATAGCCTTAATCTTACTCTTAGTGATATGGCTCATTCTTGTGTTAAAGCTGTTTCATTTTTTTGGAATTGTTCAACGCATGTACACATTATTTGCTAGTTCTACAAAAAGGTGGAAGGTGTTACTTGATAATGTGTCAAACTTAACTGTAAAATCTTTGTGCAACACACGTCGGGAAAGTAGAATAAAAAGTGTTAAGGCAATTAGATTTCAAGCTCCTCAAATAAGATCGACTTTGCTTGAATTATGCAAATCATGTGATGATGCCAAAACGAAAAGTGAAGCGGAAAGTTTGGTAAATGCAAYTGAAAATTTTGAGTTTTTACTTGGTATGATTGTTTGGTATGATGTTTTATTTGCAATAAACATGGTTAGTAAAAGGTTGCAATTAAAATCTATGTGCATTAATGCTACCAAGGAACAATTTGAAGGTGTAGTGAAGTATTTTGAAAAGTATAGGAATGAAGGGTTTGCATCAAGTATGGATACTGCTAAAACAATAGCATGTGAAATGAATATAGATCCTACATTTTTTATTAAGCGTCGTATTATTAGGAAAAAACAATTTGATGAAAATAACAGTGAAGAAGAAATGCAAGCATCGGAAGAGGAAGCTTTTAGAGTTAATTATTTTCTAACCATTGTGGACATGGCAATTTCTTCATTGAATAATAGATTTGAACAATTAAAGAAATTTTGAAAGTATTTTTGGATTCCTATTCGATTCTGATAAACTAAAGTCATTGGATGAAAATGAATAGATGACATCTTGTGTTCATTTTAGTGATACTTTTTATCATAATACTATGGCGGATGTGGATGTAAATGATCTTTATTCTGAGTTAAAGGTGTTACAGGTGACTTTGCCAAACAAATCAATGACGTAGTTGAAATTTTTGAGTTTGTCAAAGTTGTAGATTGTTACCCTAATGTTTCGATTGCTTATCGAATTATGTTGACAGTACCTGTGACCGTAGCATCTGCAGAAAGGAGTTTTTCAAAATTGAAGTTATTGATCGAAGACGTACTTGAGGTCATCAATGTCACAAGAAAGGTTGAATGGATTGGCAATATTGTGCATTGAAAAAGACATGCTTGATAATATTGATTTAGATGCTATCATTAATGATTTTGCATCCAAAAATGCTCGAAGAAGTTGTTTTGTATGAATTAGATGCTATTATTGATGGTTTTGTATCCGAAATACTCGAAGAAGTTGATTTTGTATGAATTAGATGTTATTATTGATGATTTTGTATCCGAAATACTTGAAGAAGTTGTTTTGTATAAATTATTAGTATTATTGTATGAAAGTTTTTTTTTAATGATTAAAAACATTTATTTAAGATTTTTTTTGTACATGTAGAGGGCCCAAATTTCACAAATCGCCCCGGGCCCAAAAAATGTCAAAAACGGGCCTGGTGGTATCACTGTGATACCATTGCCAACCTAACCTCTTTAGCACGAAAATCTGTAGATTTAGGAATCAAAGCAACGACCATTACGTTTCCAATCACCGCAACGAGTAGGCTTGAGACCTCGGGGACCACCAGATTCGCCGATCTCTTCATTTATATCAACTTCTTCGTCATCATCTTCATCGTTTCCTCTCCACGATCTTGAGCTTTTTGGATCTTATCTTTTTCGCTAGAGTTCTAGATTTCAGATTTGGAAATGGAATAAACACTCATGTAGTCAAATATTGAACTGACATTGCTAGAGTTCCAGTTCCAACCTCATGAATTAGAGTTCCCACATATAGCATGACAACACACACACACAAGTAATTTACAAAGTCAAGCCTTTATGTGTGCTTGTGACACTATGATCAAGATTTTTGGGCACCATCACATTGATGCAAGATATTAGACATATAGTGGTAGCAGGGTCTTTCAATATCTGTTAACAGGAAAGGTTACATCTACCTCAGTACCCCCTAGCCCTCGAAGCCCTACGAGTCAGGCTCAGATTTTGCAGCAGTCAGCAAATTTGAAGTCCTTTAGTTTTAATGTACTTAAAACAGCTACCAGGGCAGGAATTTCCTTCATGATATATAGTGTGTTGGTAGAAGGTGGCTTTGGTTCAGTTTTCAAAGGGTGGATCGATGAACAATCACTTGCAGCTGCCAAGCCGGGTACTGGTACTGGCACTGGCACTGGCACTGTCACTGTCATTGTCATTGTTGTAAAGAGGTTAAACCATGAAGGCATTCAAGGTCATCAAAAATGGTTGGTAAGTATGAATCTTTGTGTCTTCTTTCGTTGATACATCAAATTGGAACCATCTTGACTCTTTGGCGAATTCCTCGTCGCAGTCTTCCTCGTCGCCGTCGCCTGTGAAGCAATGTTGTTTGGAAGCGAAGCCGCCATTTAGGTATTAGTAGAGAGAGAGAATTTAGGGCAAGTTACCAAAATGAGTTGTCATTTTCTTTTACCAAGTTACCGATTATTTAAATATACTAATAATTACTTTAAATGATTGGTCCATATTGGACCTCATGGTTAACACACAAAAAAACAGTTCTCATTTGATTAGACGTATATATATATATAGGGGCTTAATCAAATGAGAACTAAATTATTTGTGGTAACCGTGAGAACCAATCTCAACCATATATTAAAAAAATTAATGGTTAAGATTAAAAAGAATATTAATTATTCTATTTCTATAAATAAATTAATATCATTTAATGAAATTATATGAATAAGGGCAATATCGTCATTTTGTACTTTATTTTATTCGGTCCGCGCTCAAATCCGTTATTATTCTTGTTCAATTTCGAATCTAAATTTGGTGAAGATAGGTTACTGTATTTGAGAGAGACGACAGCGCTAAGCCCTAGTGTAATCGCAAGAGTAATCGAAGAGTAATCGCAAGTGCAAGGCTATACATAAACGATGGAGGATGACGAAGGAATAGGTATAATCGATTTATGTTCTTCATTTCCAATATGAACAATCCAGTAACCCTTGTTTCTGTAATGTGGAATGGTACAGGAAGAAGGAGCGGTCG